GGGGGAGGGAGAGACAGACGTAGACAGAGTAGGGGGTGTAGAAAGAGGGAGAGAGAGAGACAGACAGACAGAGAGTTCAGGATGGGGAGAGAAAGAGAAATTGTTCAAAAGAAGGAGAGAGAGAGGGGGGGGGTGTTTGTTAATATTGTAATTATTGATTCCTGCCATTTTCTCTCTGCATCAGTTCACAGGCTGACCCAGTGCAATACCATCGTTATTGTACACATTACACCACACAGATGACCAGTTCCATCTTCTGAATGCCACCTTCTGTGTCCCATCTCTCACCTTTTGTTTCTCATGTACCGTATCTAATTTTCCACAATAGATCTAACATTCTCGAGGACTTTAATTTTATAAGCGCGCTTTGTTTTCCTTCATCTCACGAGATGGAACGCTTGAAGCAGTCCAAAATATATGTAACACATCACTGTCGTCAATGTCCAAATCAGATGTGTGCTGATTTCAACGGTCTGGATCTCAAAGTATCATCCATATTTTCGCTAGATCTAGATCTAGTCTTAAGCTCTTTGTACCTTCTCAAACACGCTATGGTGAAATGAATCGGGGAGCACCGAACGACGTTGACTTTGAAAATAAGTGCCCCTAACAATTTAGTGTTAGGCGGGCGTACGCGTGCCTAACTACTTCCTTTATTTACAGTCTGAAACTGTAATGTTTCTCTTTTAAAAATTTTTACAAAGTTTCAGGGATGCCGATAGCGTACATTGTTCAAGTTCAAAGTTGTAATGCAGTGCCTATTTTTGTATCAAATCTTTTCACAACAATTTTCATCAATAAACCTAAAGTAATTCAAGTTCTTCGGGTAAACTGATTATTACTGGATGAAAATGGGATGCAGTAAAAAAGACATGAAGCTACAGCGAGCACCTAGCACACCTCTGTGATTGGCCCAAATATCTAGGTTTCATCGCCGACTGCTTGCGCTGTGTGTTTGTGTGTGTGCACACACGCTTGTGTGTATGTGTACAACTTTCTAGAAGATAAATTTATGGTACGAGTATTGCTGAGATTGCTTCTAAAAGATAAAACACAAATTAATACCAACAAAAAAAACAGGACGAGATCTCATCTAGTTATCAGTTGCGGGCAAGGGAAACCCAAGAATCTTGGGGGAACCCCAGAAGACGACAAAAATAGATGGCGGAAATATTTGTAATAATCTATATTTGGGCCAATCACAGAGGTGTGCTAGGTGCTCGCTGTAGTTTCATGTGTAAAAAAGTAAAGTTGTTCCCGCATCGGATCCGGACATTGGGAATTGCCTTGTTAGTGAGACAATTTCTTGGGCCTTCAGCATTGTGTAAGGGTGGCTAGTTCCTTTCCACGCCGCCTTTACTTACCCAACTCGAAGTCAGGTACCCATTACTGCTGAGTGGGGAGGAGGGGGCGAAAGTAAATCCGTGTCCAAACTGAGGCTTGAACCCAGACTTTCCGCTTCGGAGGCGGGTGCACTAACCGCTCCGCTTCATCAGTCCTGGCAACTTTTTTCATCACTTAAGTATTTATTGCTTGATTAATTGAAAATAATTACGTATGTCTTAACCTCAACCCCCTCTAACCCTTATAATCAAAATCCAGCAAGTGCAAATAAAGGGATCTAAAATGGAAGATTGCCCTAAACAAAGACAATTTTATTATAATTATAGTCTACAGAATCTACCATTTATATAAATGATTTTTATGTGATTCAAAAGTTTTCTGAATCAGTGTGAAATGCTTTTATTCAAACATATATTTTGTCTTGAAAATATAGTTTACTCCTTTAATTTTGTTAGTCAGAATACTTTCTGTGGTAGACAGCATTTAGGAGAGAGCGACTTTCTTTGGGCTTTTGACTTTTGGCTGAACTTTTAAAAAATTCAAAATTTACCTCAAAATTCAAAATGCTCAAATGAAGGTTACAACATAAAGTTAAAGCGGTGTGGCTTTTCTTGTATTTTTAATTGTAATGTAAAGAAGTTTTGACTTCAACGTTAGTATCAGTGAAGCAATAAATTTTTTAAGGCCATATCTGCTCCTGAAATTTCTAAAATCCATGTCCCTGACTAAATTAAAATATAGCAACGATGATATTAGTCAGACGTCAAAGAATAAATTTAAGTAATAATCTATTACTATAAGAACGTGGTAACCAAGCGAACATGCGCCATATTGGATAATTTCATTAAATTTCAAAAGCTATCCTCTCTCTCAGTTTTAATCCATTGGCTTTCATTTTAAGCAAGTATATACTACTACATATATGTAATGAACAAGTAATGCCAGATTTGTATTGTAATATTACAATTATTAAAATAATTATTGACTCTGGAAACACGTACTGTGGACAAATATAAAAAATACTCAAAATTTCCAATAGATGCACTGATTGTAGTTTTATTTTCTTATCTTCAAAAATGCCTCTATTTCAGAAAAGGTTACCTACGGATGTACATTGTGTAAAAAAAATGAAGCCATTCAGATGAAAAGTAAAGGAGAAGATGTTATTTAAAGTCGGAAAAATAAATATTTGAGAAAAAAAATGAAGTAAACCCTTCAAAAACATGTCCCAAAATTGCAAATTATTTTTTTAGCCCATTTTTTTTATATTTCTGAACATTATAATTAATTGAAACTGGCGCTTGTAACTTTGAGGGAAATGGATGTAGGTGTAAAAAATGGAAGGAAAAAAATGCATGGTCAATCTGGGTAAATATGGGGGAAATTTCAACCGCAGATGGCTGTAAAGCAGCTACGCAACAGAAGCTCAATGGATTTTATTGTGATGAAGGATTTGTCTTGAGTAACGTGTTGAGATGGTGCTGAAAAAAGTACTGGTTTTTGCAGATGAAGTTGTTAGTCTTACAATTTTTTTTACAAGAACTAGTTACCAGTATACAGTAGAATTCAAAATTACTACATGCTTAGCGAGAAGATTAATTTCTTAGCATAGTATATTTTTTAAAATCATTTTTTCCTCTTCTCTTTCTAACTGAGCTTTTTCTACTTCTCCCACATCTCAATCTTAAAATATCAATGGAATTATTATTAAGCTAAGACTGTATTCGCTATTTAACTATTTTAAAAGAATGATAATTGTAATGTATGATAATCTTTGTTTTACTATTGCAGTTTGGAAATAAATTTATAGTAATAATAGTAATTATAAATTATATTGTACATGTTTATTAAATGATAATGTTATATCTGAACAAGACTTTAAGTAATAATCAGTGTTCAAAAGTTGAGGGAAACATTCAAACATTTTTTACGCGGTTTACAAAACACCACTCACAGTGAAAGTTTTTTTTGTTTGAGGTAGTTATTTGAACATTCTCAATATTTATTTTCAGTGCAATTTAATATTGATACTTTCTCTTTTTATTTACCTTTTTACTTACCATTGTTATCATGCTTTTTTTTTCTTCCAATTTTCACCTGAAAGCCTTGCTTCCTTCTTCCCGTTCTTATTTACCCCTGACTTCATTCCTTTTCCACTTTCATGAGATGCTGAGATGTGATAGATGAGGATGATCTTGATGTACCTTCTGAAAATCAGTAGGCCTACACTGGCTTTCACTCTTTCTCTCTTCCGATGAAAGGAAAACTATCAAGAGGTTTAACTTATTTTGAAGACAGGTAACGTTTCTGTTTACTCCTTTCAACTTCCTCTTTATGTCTTCCAGTTTGGAACTGAAACATTCACATCTGTTCCTCTTGATGCTGAAGCTGCTGTGGGTGCAGATAAGAAGAAAAAGAAGCCTAAGAGGATTCTTCACTTCAGTGATGGCATCTTAGAAGAGTATTCATCATCTTCTGAGGATGAGGATGCCAAGAAAGATGTGGGCCCACTAGTGGACCCTGTAAGATCACCTTTGTTGTATCTGTTGTTTCAGAGAATTTTTTTTTTAATCCTTAAGGATTGTTCTCCTTATAAACAATAATAATGATAAAATCATAATCTGTCTGTCTTTGCCTCTGCCTGTCTGTCTGTCTGTCTGTCTGTCTGTCTGTCTGTCTGTCTGTCTGTCTGTCTGTCTGTCTCTCTCTGTCTCTCTCTTTCTCTCTCTCTCTCTCTCTCTCTCTCTCTCTCTCTCTCTCTCTCTCTCTCTCTCTCTCTCTCTCTCTCTCTCTCTCTCTCTCTCTCTCTCTCTCTCTCTCTCTCTCTCTCTCAAACACAAACATACACCTACACACACATACATTCAAACAGACACAGATAAACAAGAGATGTTTTCCACAGCCTTTTAACCTTTCTTATCAAGCTCTTGTTGTATGCCTTAGCAATTCATCTCCAAACCAATTGACCACAGTAATTGAAAGATCGTTAGACATAGTTTAAAATCAATATATATTTTTATCTGGTCCGTTGTGCCTGATTATAATCTTTGGTCCTTTGTCAGAGTATTTCTATGACATTTTATCCAATATACTGGTGCCAGGTTGCGCTTTCATTTGTGACAGAAAGTGAACATTTTATAAACATTGTTAGGTCTATGATCTTTCATAGGCAATCAGTTACTTTAAAAAGGGGTTATAATATGGTGTCTTATACTTTTTTAATGAACGACATTAGCTCAATGGCAGGAATACTTTTTGGGCAGTTATATCTAATGTATTTAATTTGTTGTATTTGTATTTTATTGTTCATAACTATAATGGTGTCTTTTGTCTTTCATTTCTGCCATTTGTTGTTTTTTCATGGATTACATGTGTACTTTCTCAGGTGATCTTCTCTTTTCAGTCATAACTTGCCCGTCTGTTTTCATGTGTACACTGTGTAACATAGTGTGGTGCGTTTACCTGTGAATGCATGCAAGCTTGAGTGCAGAAGTTTAAGTGTGTATGAGATGATTTTGTGTATGTGAATGCTTTTCTCCTCATGATGAAAACCTGTGGTTTTTATGAGCCCTATTCAAATAATATAATTACATTTTCATTTTTTGTGTGAAATGGTTTACTTTTTCAGAAAACTCTCAAATGGGCTCCATGGTGCTTTTATTATGCTTCAACTGCTGCTCGAAAAGCATTAGGAGGTATGCAATACTTTGGTTTATCTTGTAGTTCATAACTTCTGTCTCTGAAATGATAGAGTAAAGTTCCCCAAATGGTCACAAGCAACTGAAAGCCTAATTAAGAGTACATGGCTATTTTCACTGCATCCACAATGCTGTTACTGCTTCAGGTTTCTTATTTTAGAAAAGGAACCTCTACAGGAGTTCAAGCCATGATAGATAAAAACAGATACTTCACTTAGGAATATCTCCTTTTTAAATTTCTTTTTCACTTATTGACTCACTCATATATTAGTTATATATGAAACCTTTTCCTTCTTTTTTTTTCCATCTGAAGTTGCTGACGTTTGTGGAGAAAAACTTGCTTGGTTCTTTGGCATTACAACTCCCAAATACAGATATGAAATTGAGGAGTACAAGAGAGCTCAGAAAGAGGTGAGTATGCTTTGGGAGAATGCTCGGGTAAAAAATGGCAACTTGTTGACTGCCGACTGGGAAAAAAATTGCCTTTATATAATGAAAATGAAATAAAAATATTACCTGATCTACACTTGGCCTATATCCATGCTCTACAACATTCTCTTTTCATTTTACAACTATTGTTACCCCAGCTAGTCCTAGAACACTCAGAAATTTTCTCAGCTCCCTGGGAAGCATTCAGTACAAGCTGTCATTTTACAAGCGCTAAAACTTTAACAAGATGATAAACATCTTCTTCTGTCTATGGCTAGGGTGAATTGAGGAAAATATGTGGAAACTGCCTTTTCCCAATGACACAACTTCAGGTCAAGCTAAACTTTGAACTCTTGAACTCCCAAACCCACAACCTTGCTATTTCAAGTCTGGTAGGTTAACCACTAGGCCACCAATGCTGCATGTATATGAACACTCAATGAGTTATTAGAGACTGCAAGGGAACTTGGTTGTGATACTTCTTCGTTCTTAAGGTTCTTCACTGAAATATCAAGAGAAATGTTTTTCCTCTTAAAACATGTTAATGCATTTTCACTTTGAGTTGTAAGCATCTCGTTTATGAATGAGGAATTTTTAGACTAGGGTGGTGTTGTTAGTGTACTGTTTTGTGCCAAAGCATTAGGATGCCTTGTTTATGGTATGTGACTCTAGCATGTGTTTTGAGTAGAAGCTATAGAAGTAGTCACTTGGTTTTATTTAGGAGTTTCTATTGGCCAAAATATTGACATTGTGTGTCTTCATAATATTTTAACTTTTCTACATGTTGAAATGCTAATTTTTAGAAGTGGCTAACACACAATGGCTCTTTTTATCATATTAAAGTTGAGAAAGTTTTTTAATCCGACTGCTTTCATTTTAAGGTAAAGGGAAGCTAATAGTGTATATTACGATTCTTTGATAACCCTAACACTTTGTTTAACTGATCGACAGTTGGAAGAAGATATGGAACAAGAACGCAGGCAAGAAGAGAAAGCCCAAGGGTTGTCCACTATTGATGTGCAGGTAGTGGACAGCTGTAAAACATCCACCACCACTATCGCAAGCAACAACAACAGCATGACGGAGCCACCTGAGCTTTTGGAAAAATACTAGAAGCATTATGGGAGTTTTGCTTTTTGCTGACCATTCCAATGTTTACGAGCGCTCAGTTCTGATGTACATGGTGGGGATTTCTGTGATAAAGTCTTGAGGATTGAGATACATACTTGGGTCTTTTTTTCCCTTGTTTCTCTGTATAGAGATGGACTGGAAGACTATGATCATGCCTTACTTTTGCCTTCTCTTAAATTTTAAGAATCTTTTCCCCTACATTTGATTGAATGAAATGTAATTATTTTATGTATTTCCATTTTTTTACCTGGAATTTTATGCATTTGGACTGAAAGCCTGTGGAAGTCAGTCTTACTGAAGGGTGGGGGAAGCTACAGCATGTTATTGTCCGTATTCTCATGATTTGTCCCTTTACTTCTGGCCTAGCAGTCATAAGTTCATTTCCAAGCCATGTGTAGTAAAAGATTGTTTCTAAGAGAAAAGGACGTTGCTCGAAGTGACCTTGCTCCGCACAGGTGAAAAAAAAAGATCCCAAAGAAACTTGCAGAATGCTAGTGCTAGCACCACCTCTAGCTTAATTTTTTTTATTTTACTGTATATAATCGATAATAAATTCTTATCTGTCAGCCCGCTAAGCTTCTAGGGAACAGCTTTCTCTTCAGATATGAAAGCTTAGATAGAAGGTTGGGGAATTGCAGAAAGTAAAGTGCCTTATGAGAAATCTACACAACTCTTGTTATTCGCTTTGTAGTGTTCAATGCTGCTCCCTCATAAGTCTGTTTGCACTTCAACAGTCAGTATATATTTCACGACTCCATTTGTTGTCGCTTCTTAAGGAAAATAACTACATTTAATTTATAAATCAAGGAAGGAAGGAAGTAAGTTGTTGATTATTTTCATGAGGAAAATTGATTTTTCTAATTGAAGCTCATATATTACTTTATCATTTTAAAAATATAGTAATCTGGGGGAGATACTTTAGGGTCTGTTTTCACGTTTGATTATAAAGTTATATTATCTCCTATTTCTTATATTTTATCTGTGGGAGTTTTGCTGGGGAATTGTAAAAAGAGCGAACGTTTCCACATGATTATTATTATTGCTCAATGGATGGATTATGGAGATATGCAAAAGTATGTTTTATGACAGTGCGTTTGCTAACTTTATCTGCATTTTTGAGAATTTAGCTGAGACTATCATGTTTTAAATGGGGCCTACATTTGATGAATATATGTTTTATGTATGTGTTATAAAATCATTTGCTGCACATTGTTTCTTTTCTGGTTTTAGAATGTAGATGTAGTTGATAGTCACTCTATAACTGGATTAAGATTTCAGTTGATGTGTATTGAATTTTGAAGAGTTACTGTTATGGCTCAAAATACTCAAAATGCTATAAACAATATTTGGTTAGGGATGAGACTGCATGTTTTGAAAATCGGCTTCTGAAGGAACCCTGCTTCATTTGCTGGGTAACTTTAAAAACCAGACATTTGTTGAAAGAGCATCACATTTTTGTTAATGTAACGCTTTACTACGATTTGATAGATTATCGTGGGAAAAGGAGCATTACTAGGGAATTATAATGCTAAAAACCAAAGCTATAGTTTTTTTTATTCAGTGTCAAATTGACAATTGTTTGTTTTTTTAGTCCTCTGTAGAGAAAAAAAACCCTGTGGTTCGTATGAAAGCCTTATTATATTTCTGTATATTGCCAGTGCTGTGCCTACTTTGCACCACTTTTTCTTTTCTAATACAAATAAAGGTTGGATACATTTCCATTGACATTGTATCTGATCTCATTTGTGATCTTGAGGTTTAGTTTTACTGGGTGAAGAATAGATTTTCCCACTGAAACCATAAGCCCCAGCTCCGCGGCTTTACATGCTATTTGTGATGTTTTGAAATTAAATAGTATAGTAATTATCAAGAAAAAACAAAGAAACTTTGTGAAAGTTTTCATGACATTACTTTAAATGCATCACAAAGTTTGAATTCAATACCTGAAACAGTTTTTGATAATTAGAAATAAAGAAGAAGGGTTTAAAGTGAAGAGAAAATGTTATGCTTAACCGATAAAAAAGAATTACATGTATCAGGGAAAAAAATGTAGCAATTGAAGCAGCAAAAGATGAGACTTTGCATTCCAAAGACAGGACATTGGGAATGTTTTTGGCGTCATTTTAGTCTCATATCACAAGTTCCAAGTCTGAATGAGCTGTTGTAATCTTTTCCAAAAGACCAAGCGTTGTGAATCATGTATACTCTTTATTGATGTGCTCATGCTGTTATGCGTCATGTTTGCATCCCTTTAGCATTGAGTTGCATTGACTTTTTATTGAACAAATTTTTGTTACTGTAGTGTGCATTTTTGTTCTGGTACCAGTATTTATTTGCAAGACTGGCCATGTTGTAAAACTGTCTGATTATAGAATCCCATAGGCAACATTCTATTTTGAGCTGTTCTCAAAAGAAGCCTCTTCAAAAACACCATGAAAACGTCCCTGGAGGACTTTAACATAATTCCTTCGACATGGGAGACAGACCCACTGTGAGCAGTCACAGAGAGCAGCAAGTCATACAAGGCTTCACAAATAAGAAATGCTGAAGCCAAGAAAGAAGTCGAGGAAATTATGCTTTTAAATGCTTAAATTCTCAAAGTGTGGCAAACTTTTCTCAACCAGAATTGGTCTCATTGGCCTTAGCATAAGCCACAAGTCATCTTACTTAAACTTTTGTTTCATTTATTTCTCTCAAGAAATCTTCTCCTCTGCAGAGATGCATTGGTCATGGCCAGACATTGACGGACAAACTATCATTATTTATTTGTTGTAATGATTTGACGTGTTATTAAATGATTACTTATCACATTTTTATTTTGCTTTGGATTCCCGTAAGTTGGTTTTTACTGTACTGCTTTACATGTCAACCTTGCTGGTTGAGGTTATGCATACTTTTAAGCTAGTCGTTAATTTCACCAGAGCTGGGAATTCAATCTGTAAATAATTTGCTTTAATTTATTATTCCAGTCTTTTGCGAATAGATTTGTTTGTGCGTGTGCATTTTATACTTAGATCAACTACTAATGTCTGCCATGAATCTTGCCGGTAAATTTTGGAAGGATAATCAGTGGAAATTAAGAAATAATTTAAATAATGAAATAAATGTGGGTGGTTTTACACCCCAATTGACACAATGTAGAAAATTGAGGAGATGGCCTTCGACTATGCCTAAATGGGCCAATGTGGGCTGAAAGAGAGATCTATATGTCTCAGCAGGAAGACAGTGATACTCGATAGGAATTCTCCCTACTCGGGAATCAAACTTGGGTGTGCTTGCGATGGAGATGCACATTATAACTGCCTCATCATGAACACTGGTAGTCACACTTGGTTTGTTGAACTGCTTTGAATTCGGTTCTCAGTGTAGTTTCAATGTTTCAGAAAGCGTTTGTGTACCCTGCCCCAGATATGTCATGTTAACTCTGGAATTTTATGTCACGCCACAAGATGTGTGACATCATGACTTCTTGGAGGAGTTGACCTTTACCAGTTCTATCGAGTACCAGTATTTTGAACTTTTAAACAAAGTTTGTCTTCTTATGTTGTTTACACATAGTTATGTGCATTTGGGTAATATTTATTGGAAAAGAAAGGGTATAAAGTCATAAAGAGACAGGGATAGAATTTTATGGGACTTGGGCATAAAGAGAAATTAGGGTGGGGGGTTTCGAGGTCTGTATTTGTTATCTGGTTAGTGTAAGGGACGCCCTCAAGGGAGATTACAAATTCCAAGTCAGAAGAGCCCTTTGGTGTGTGCGTATGGTTTCAACGTTTTTTAGATTACACTTCTTATCAGAAATTTTACGTTGGTTTGCAATCAAGACATATTGGTTTGCCTTTTTTTTTCAAACTGTTTTCAAACCATGTTTACATCATTCTGACTCATTGTGTGTTTTTACTTTCCCTATAATGGTTACCATTGTTTGTGTTTGTCGACATTGTATTTTTTGTGCACAAAAGCCTTATACTCGTATAATGTTTTTCTCAGAAAATTTCTGATGTCTGTTTGCTTTGCTGTTGTTGCTGACTCATTAAAGCTTTCATTATCATTAAGTTATCTCACCTTGTGTGTTCCATTATGTTTTCCATACAATAATTGAAAGTACTTAAAAGTGTAAGTTTTATACGACAAGTGACAGTAGTCAATACAGTGGAGTCCACTTATAACGAGTCCGGAAAAAACGAGAAGTCTGTTATAAAGACGCTATTCTGAAACCCCGTTTTTTTCTCCTCTTTACCTTTGTAAATAAAATACTGCTATAGCGTTATCAGACAAACATGCAAGTCGGTTATAGCGGAATATCGTTGCTGTTGTGCACAGTGCATAGGCCAATTTTACATAATGTAAAACCTCGCTGGTTGAGAAACTTGTTGGTGATCTTGCGAAACAAAGAATAGGAGAGCCCATGTGCGCCAACAATGAAGGCCGGAGCAACTGAGTAGGGAGGGTGTGGCATGCGCAGACAAGCAGAACACATCGTGTGATATGCCAGCGTAAGCCTAGTTTACATTATCAAGGCCTACCATGCCTCTCAGTCACTTCTCCGATGCGGGGATGGAGAGGTCACAGCAATGTGATGGATGGAGCGAATGTGTGACGTGCACAAGCAGACAGAATGCACCACAGGGTGTGGTGGGGTGGGGGTAAACACAGCGGGTGAGTTAGCCCAGAGCCCTTCCTTTCTGATCGCCAACGCCAAGCTTTCAGTCCACATCGCTAGATCTAGCAGTAGAGAAAGAAACTTGATTCGAATTTTGATCAAGTAAGACCTAGAGGTCCTGGTAAAACAAAATCGTCATCAGGGGAGATAGTAAAAGGGAATAAACAGAACATCAAACTCATAAATTAGTCCTACTTTACAGTTTTTCCCTTGAATGTATTACTGGACCCCTTTTAGCGAGAATCCTGCTATAACGGACATTTTGCTCCGGTCCCCTCCCTCTCGTTGTAACAGGATTCCACTGTACTGCTTTCTACATTGCTCCCAAGACATTGCAGTACAAGTGCTGTGCCTCTTTTTAATGCAGTCACATTCAGTATTTTAGTGCACCATTTTGAATAAGCTGCAGTGAAAAAGAAACAAAACGTGTGGTATCTTTTTCCATTATATAAATTGATAACTTGGGGTGCATTACTAGATCTACGAGGGCTGTCCCACGGAAAACCGGAATTTGGCTGTAATTTGAAAACTATTCAATATTTTCACATTCTGTAAACGCACACTTGTAAAACAATCATTTAGAACTTTCCCGATTGAGCACCATGAGCATCGCACAAACCAAATGAGCACAGCAGTTCTCAGATGGCTACCACCTTGGAAAATTGGTCAAGGGTAGAAGTGAGGTCTGTCATTCGGTTTCTGACCGCAAAAGGTCTCAAACCTCTAGAAATACACACTGAAATAAAGTCAGTTTATGGGGAGAAAGTAATGGCAAAGTCACAGGTATATGAGTGATGTATCTTCTCCCAGATCAAGCGATGGGAAAAATGTGTCCAGCGGGATGGTGATTACATTGAGAAATAAAGAACATGTTGAGGTATGTCTTACAGTTTTATTATAATAGGACAAAGATTTTTGCTTTTACGGACCTTTTCCGGTTTTCCGTGGGACAGCCCTCGTAGTTGTTGAAAAAAAATTATACAGTACACTGAAAACACATTTCATCATATTAGTGGATATAATATTATTTTTGAAAACAGAAAGTGGTGATGGTCTGTTAGACATGGACAATGATGTCCAATATGGTACAACTCACTGTCAAGCTGACTTAGTTTTGTTTGACTTCATCAATGATGTAAGATATCGTGGTAGAACCAGATGCTCATCAAAATAATGAAATCGAGGAAACTTGGCATTTTTCTGCTAGTGTGCCTATTTTTATGTTTTTTGCTTTTTGGCTCAACACCTTTTACGTTCACTTAAAAACACATTTCTATTAAGATTTTACTTTTTTCTAAACTTCTGTTAAAGGCAAAAAAAAAGAGTAAATTTTCAGTTTCCAAGGACTTTCAAGGTACAGTGGAACTCGGATTCAACGAGGTCTCCGGGCCTGACCTAAAATCTCGTTGAATCCGGGTGTTCGTTATAGCAAACACAAGGTTTTGTGTAGATAATTACAGGCACTGAGCAAGTAAAGTATAAATTGAAGTCACAAGTAGTTCCTGAAATGCCCTCATATTATTATTATTATGAGCTGTGTAAAAAAAAGACTGATTCGTTCAAATGCACAATCCTGTGTCATCTCGATTATTTACCAAAAAGTTGTGTTGCTGTGTAGAGCCTAGCATATGGCAACTTTTGATTCCATAGACCAGCGCACAATTCATTACACAGATCTACGTCAAGACTAGCTTATCATTGTAATAATGATCAGTTGCCGAGGGAAAAAAAAAAGACTTGGGTGTTTGTATCTGCGATGTTCAACGCCCGGACCGCTAGTGCGCCCCCCCCCCCCCCCCCCCCGACACGTACACACAGTCACACGTGTCTTTGAGGAGCCTACCCATCCAACTCCGACACACACCAGAGTAGACATGTGCACATGCCAACGACGCGTGCGTTGGTATGAAAAAAGGCCGGTGATTGGTCGCATGCAATCAGCTACGTGAATAATGGTTCACGATGCAGGTGCAATGGATGGTTTCCAGGAATAGATAAAGTTCGTTCTAGGAGAAAAACGAACGAAACCAGGTCTGCGGGGGCTGTTCACCCTGGAAGCGACCTCGTTGAATTCGAGCTCGCTCATTTAAGTGCTCGTTGAATCCGGGTTATTTTTATTGATTTTAAAGAAGAAAAAAAACGAATCTATCTCATCTCATTGAATCCGAGCTCGTTGAATCCGAGTTCCATTGTATGCGCCAAACCGGGGTGACCATTGCCTCCCTAATTTTACCTCTAAAACCAGACAATCCGCCACCTCCTTCAATCACAAATATCTTGACTTTTATTCAAGACGGGTATTTTTTTAGTTGAATCCAAGTTCTATAGTACTAATAGTAATGCAGTTCTGAAATTTCCTCCACTTTGACCTCACATCTTTCTTGTTTGAAAACCTTAAGTTTACAGTTATATCGTAGTACTCTGTAAGTAAAGTAAAAAACTGAAGGACACAGATTGTACTTGTAGTTGTTAATGTCTGTCACCCCCATCGACGTTATTAGGATCATTTAGGAGGCGGGCGGCTTCATCCTTGACTCTAAGACTGACCTAGCTGGGTGACATACAGTACAACAAGATAACTTCCCCATGGAAAAGAGCTGAACAGTTACACCATAGTCGCTAGTAAAGCACGCTATCAAACTATGGGAAAGCAAGGAGGTAACGCAAATCAAGTTCAGATGCAGTTATTTATTATCTTAATTCAGTCCTGCCAAATCTCAACATATATATTTATATACACAAGGAGAAATAATAAAAAACCAACTTTTCTCTTGCTCACAAACTCATTCATATCTCCATAAAGTAGATTTTACTATTCTATCAACACAAGTTTCATAACTTCTTTAATAACAATTTTTTTTTTATTAGACTTCAAAGAAAAAAAATGAAGATCACTACCACACCACAGTCACAGACATGCAGTCAAACAAAAACAGCAGAAAAGCATCCTTCCCTTAAAAATTTTTTTTACAAATAAAAGATCACAGCTCAGAGTTTGATAGAAAACGAGGCTCCACATGAGCAGCCTTGTTCAGCCTGCGGGTTGTCGGTGACACGGAAGGAGGATCGGATCAGCTCTTGGTAGTAGTCCACTGTGGATCCTTTGACAAGCTCCAGGGAGTCTACGTCGATGACCACCTTCACACCATCTCGCTCAAACACCCTGGGCAAAAACATCATCTTTCAGTGAACATCATGAGGCAGAATTGTTTTAAATCACAATAAAGTTCACTTACTGAGGTCGTGTTGCTTCCTGAATGTCACCCCTAAATAATTCAGTCGAATTGGTATTATCCAGTTAAATGATAATATTTGTATGGCTCAATTTGACACTGCACTGGTGTTTAACAGATGGGACCTCCAAATTCAGCATCCATAGAAGGACTAAGCTAAGTTGGTGAGAGTTTGGAAACCCACCAAACAATGTAAGTCTAAGTTCAAGACACTCCGAAGGGGAATTAGTGAACAAAAGTCATTTCAACCATAGATCAGCATGAGTCCTGTCTCTCAGGACAGCCTGGGGGGATCCAGTATTGATACTAAAATCGAAACTAAACAGGTAACAAATACTACAACATTGCCCTCACAGATTCTCATCAGCACTATAATCTAATCTACTTTACTACAATGGAGTCCACTTATTACGAGTCCTTATATTACAAGAAGTCTGTTATTAAGACACCATTCTAAAACTCCGTTTTTTTTCTCTTCTTTATCTTTGTAAATAAAATAGTGCAATCAGACAAACACGCTAGTCGGTTATAGCGGAATATTGCTGCTGCTGTGCACATCGCATAGCCCAATTATACATAATGTAAAACCTCGCAAGTTGAGAAACTTGTTGGTGAACTAGCGAAACAAAGAATCGGAGAGCCCACGTGTGTCAGCAATGAAGGCCGGAGCGAAAGAGTGGGAGGGTGTGGCATGTGCAGAAAAGCAGAACACATTGCGTGATAGGCCAGCCTAGTCTAGATTAGCTAGGCCTACCATGCCTCTCACATCTCCGATGCGGGGATGGAGAAGTCAGAGTGCTGTGATGGGTGGAATGAATGTGTGACGTGCGCAATCAGACGGAACGCACCACAGGGTGTGGTGAGGTGGAAGACAACACAGCGAGTGAGTTAGCCTAGAGCCAGAGCCCTTTCTTTCTGGTCGCCAACGCCGAGCTGTCAACATTGCTAGTGCTAGAAAAAGAAACCTGATTCGATTTTTTATCAAGTATGACCTAGAGGTCATGTTGAAACAAAATCAATATTAGGGGAGATAACAAAAAAAGAAATAAACGGAACACCAAACTCATACATTAGGCCTACTTTATTATTTCCATTTAATTTATTACTAGATCCCTTAAAAAGAGGATCCTGCTATAACAGACATTTCGCACCAGTCACCTCCCTCTCGTTATAACAGGATTCCAAAGTATACAATCATCATCATTTCTGGACACATTAAATAGGCACTTAATTGTTTAATTTAGGGGACCAACATTCAAGTTCGATGCATGTCTTTAAAGACCTTTGGATGGCCTTCAAAGCGTTTTTTTTTTTCAGGTCGATGTGTGACTAATGAGTCTCGAGATATTTCAAGTTGAAAAATAGACAATTTTTAACCATTGGTTTTTGATAAATTTTCTCGTCATATTTTTTTTCAAACTACCCTTGTTGATAAACCAGTCTTTGTTCTTCCAGAAAACGTTCAAACGATTATCGTAGAAGTCTTACCTTGGCTAATGAAGTTTAACCCTTTTGTCAACCAAAATCCACAAAAACCTAGCTGAACCCTTCCACCGTGACATCGCGCCGAGCCGTGACGTCATGTATTTTTCGCCTTGAGCTTTTGGCTTCCTATTTTCATTGTTTGAAATGTACGAGACAGGGAAATACATCGCCCAGAGATTTTTAAACTTCAATTTGAAATGTTAGTCAATTTTGGTAATGTTTTAAAATCACCGACCTTACATTGTGTCTTAGTTCTATGAACTGGAATGTGGGATCGGCTGCATGCTTCCCCCCCCCCAATACTCCTCCCCCACCCCTCTCTGTCTGTCTGTCTGTCTGTCTGTCTCCCCCCCCTCTCTCTCTCTCTCTCTCTCTCTCTCTCTCTCTCTCTCTCTCTCCTCTCTCTCTCTCTCTCTCTCTCTCCTCTCTCTCTCTCTCTCTCTCTCTCTCTCTCTCTCTCTCTCTCTCTCTCTCTCTCTCTCTCTCTCTCTGTGTGTGTGTGTGTGTGTGTGTGTGTGCTTTTGTGTGTTCCCGCTCCCCTCCTATTTTCATAACCTTACCTCTCTTTTCTTGTCCATCCCACATTACCTGCTCTTCAACTTCACATACATTCTCTCTACATTATATATCCTTCTTGTCGTTCTATTTCTCTTACAATCGCCACCTCCGCCATCTTTCCATGACACACGGTACGGTATTAGCAGCATAGGCCTATTACTCTTTTCCACAGATGAAACAACCCTGAAGAAAGATGCCAGTTGTAGCAAAGTGAGTACTTTTGCTCCTCAGTTCTTACTTTACTTTTTTCCTTCTTCTGGTATCCTTAGGGTGTCCAGGGGAGGTGCAGGTTTTGGCGTCTGCAATAGATATATTAATTAGTTAAGTTGTCACAGGACCCTTTTAACCCCATCTAGTCAGGTCTTTCTTGTTCTTCCTCTTGATTTAAAGCCGGATTCACAGGTGTAGTAAGCTCTAGCCGCTGGTTGTTTCTGGGGCAATCTGGTTAGATGTCCGAACTATTTGATTCTTTGGCGCTCTAATTAATTTACTACTGGTAGACTTATGGTCTCTTTCCTTAGGCGGTCTTCTCTGGTGGCGTTGGTGGTTTTGCTGAGACACCTAATTTCGCGTGCATTGAATTTTCTTTCTCATGCCTTGTTAAGAGACTATGTTTGGCACTGGTAGATTAATGTTGGTATAAAGATGCTATTGATGAGCTGGGGTTTCACTTCAGTTGGGATATTCTTGTGACTGAGAAGGGGTGCTAGCTGGTAGGTCACTGCATTTGCCTTCATAGTTCTTGTTTCTTTTTCTTTGTCCATACACCCATCTTGTGTGAAGATGCTTCCCAAATATTTAAATCCCTCTACTTGTTGGAGTTGTGTTCCGTCAGTAAGGATGTTGAGTTTCCCTGGGGGGTTTTTCGTTTTCATAACTTCTGTTGTTTTTTAAAGGAGATTTTCATGTTTAGGTGTTTACATTCCTCATTAATTAGTTTTGGGGTGTGTTTTTGAAATTCCTCTTCATCTGTATTTAATGTACTCTGGTCATCAGCAATAGAAGCTCGTTCAGTTCATTGATGTTGTCATTTGCTGCTTTCATGATCTTATCCATGCAAGTGATGAAGAGCAGCGGAGAGAGAACACACCCTTGTCTCACCCGAGACCTGATGGGGAAACAGTCCGATAGTCCTTCTGTTGATCTTATGGCACACAGGCTGTTTTTATAAAGTGCCATGATGTTCTCCAGCAATTGTCCTGTTACACCATATTCCTCTAAGACTTCCCAAAGTTGACATCTATTTACCCTGTCGAACGCCTTTTCGAGGTCCACGAAGACGATATTGAGGTCGTGTCATGTCCAATGGCAGTCTCACACAACTGTCCTAATGCAAATTCCTTTTGCGCTGGAAGAAGGTATTTGATATGACGAGGTCATGTTCTGCGCATAACCGTAATAGCATTTCTCCATTGCCGTTTTAATGTTTCTCTGTCACTGTGTGGCCCCATGTATCTCTCCCACGTCATCTTCCTTGTTTCCACTCTGCTGTTAAAGTCCCCCATCATTGTCTCATTATCTTTGTCATCCACAGTGTTTAAAAGGTCACTCAGTTGATCATAGAACTGATGTTGCTGTTCTTCGGGGTATGAGTCATTGCATGGTGCATATATCTGTATTTGATGCACCTCAGTAATTTAAATTATCATATTCTATGGTGATTCTTGTATCAATCTCCGGCTTTATACATGTACATAATCGTTGAATTTTATATATATTCTTCAAGTCTGTGTTATGCTTTTTTAGTTCAGTTTTAGCATGGGTTTAACGGCCTTTGCAACATAATAGGTCATATAGGCGCTGAAGATTTGAGATGTTATAAGAGAGTAACATACACAGAAAAGAACGAGGACAGATAAGGACGGTTGATTGTTAATAGGAAAAAAAAAAGGGACAAACCACACCCCAGAGCACCCGCCAACCTCCTGCTTGAGTTATGCATATAAGATTGAAACTGCTTTCAATTTTAATCATTTTTTCCCAATAGCAAGTTAAAGAACTCTTTAAAACAAAATGAGAGATGTTTTTTTTCTTTTGAAAATCGGACCATTATTATGGAAAGTGTGCCCGTTTCTTATTTTGGATAACAGGCTTCGGACTCCCAACGTCACTCTTAGGGCGTAATTAAACGGTAAATAAAATTTTACTCTTTAGGTACTTGACTTTTATTTTTATATTGATTCTACAAAAAAAAACCAAAAAAATGATACCTCAATGGTTACGATACAACTATTATTAAGGATTTTATGACGTTTTGAAGCAAAATATGGAAGTTCGGTGGCACAAAATGCAGTGCAAAAATTTTGCCAAATCAGGGCGAAAATTGATTCAGAAAAATGGTCGCTTCTTCTGAACTAACAAAGATAGCACTAAAATTTTAAAAACTCTGAAAACAGACAGCCAAGCTCTTTCCAATAATCCTAATTTTAGGGTCCTCGGATAAGTTTGAAAATTTCACTGAAGTGCCTACAATAAGCCATCTTTCTTCAGGAGCAGCAGCTACAGCAGCATGAGCAGGAACAGCAGTAACAACTTTCAAGTGATTTTCTCAACCATAGCAATGTCTAACAATTAGAGCCATATAGGCAACTAACAGACCTTCATCAATCATGGGGAAGCTTCACTGCAAGACAAAATGCTAGAGGGCTCTCCAAACAAAAAGTAAATACTGGTAGTCTGCAACCTCAACCCAGGTGAAAAAGACAAAGCTCATTACACTAAACAGAAAATACCTACAAGTCCTGTTTAAACACACACTTGAACCAAAACAAGGTTTCAAACTAAAAACAACAATAAGCTACCACAACAACTACAGAATTAAGAGCCAAAACCATTACTTCTCATAAGTAGTATATTACTTCCTATACATAAAATTTCAAAAGATCATCTCTGCAGCTCTAGACACTACTGACTGAAATACATCCTACATGCAACACTTGAAAAAGTAGAAAGAACAGAAATCCATTAGACTTAAACTTACCTATCATCTTCCTCAACTTGTGAGTCTAGTTCAAATTTGTACTGGAAGCCAGAGCATCCACCACCTTCGACAACAAGTCGGAGACCTGAGCCATCATCGGTGCAGATCTCCTTAAGTCTCTGGAAAAAAAAATAATTTTTATGAGGAAAATATGTTTCTTTGTTTATCTGACTTTTTCAGCCTCTCAATATAATAATAAGTGATGATAATATAATATGTGTATTTTGCTTCATATGACAGCTAGAACAAAGATTACCATTTAGAATTCTTTTAATAAATAAAAGTGACCAGACAGCATTGTTAGTAACACTCCTCTTTAAAGGTAAAGTCCCCAGTATGAACACAAGGCAAGGAGAAATCAAGTTAGATTTCCACCCATTTAATCACAGTCACTAGGCTCCCTTACATCATTATCATCATCATCAATGTTGACAGCTCGAAGATTTTTTTAAAAGCGAAAACTTGGTGGAAACTGTAGAACTATTATCACTATCATCATCTCCGTCTTCATCACCCCTATTACTATTAATCAATGGCAGCAACACCAATGAAACACTAATCTGACGAATGCCCTATGCAAAAAAAAAAAAGCATTTTTCGAAACACTGTAAAAGAAGTCCTTTTACCTGTCTCCGAGATTTTATGCACCCCACATAATTTAGCAAAATTTGATATTTTTTGCATAATTTCTGATTATTTTCCTGTATCATTCTTTGCTAAAATTAACAGAATCGAATAATTTCACATTTTTGGGCTCAGTTTGCATAATTTCATAATTTTTCTTGCGAAAAACGACGGGGACAGTTTTACAGCAATCAAGGAAACGGGTCCATATCATACAAATAATCAATATAACACACACTCTGAAAGCACGGTGCCATCAGCCTCCACCTGTCGCCCAGTTCACTTAATACATACCGGATGGGGAAACCAAAAGAACTCCTATCAGATTACTAGAGTACACACTGCGTTTAATACATAAAAGGGACCATAATACCAACAAGAAGGCATTGATACTACCAGATTGTATAATAATTTTTAAAAGTTAATAAATAGTAATAAAACAATGATCAGACAGTTTGTTAAAAATGAGGAAAACACTCTACTACCTTTCAAAAAGAGGACAAGAGCTTATCTGTGCAGGCTCATTATCATCACTGTCTTTTGCTGAGCAAACATAATGTGGGGCCCTCTACAAATGATTAACCAAACAAAAAACCCAATGTGGAAACAAACCTTCACACAAGCATCGCTGAGCTTCAGGTCAACACCAGCGCTCGAGTCCTGAGCAGGAGAGGCAGCATTTGAGGCCAAAGTGCGGTTGATGAAGGGAACTCTGTTGCCACCCCCGTTAATTTGAGCTTGGAACAGACCACTTCCCACACGCAATGTCGGAGAGCTGACGATGAAATATTTTAGGCAGTTAGCAGACCAGGCTAAATAAGAAACAGAAAGATGTTCAAACTTATTTACGCAAAAAGAAAAGATGGATTTTTTAAAATTAGGATGATTAAAAGGGAGGCAGGCGGAGACAGGGATATTTCGCTCCTTTACACTTTGCACTAGCCTACGAGTGCCCGCCGCCGCCCAGTGACCCGGGCCGGGTCGGGTCAGGTCGGGTCGGGATGATCGCCCGACTCGTCGCCTGAAAACAACGTGTTTGTTTTGAAACAACGAGTCGGGCGCGATCGACTTGAGCCACGATAGATGCTTTGCAATATCAATCTAGCGAGCAGACCGACTCAATAGTCTTGTTTGGACTAGTCTAGCTAGAGTAAATCAATCATAAACACCCTCGTCTGATTACTTAGCTTGCTTTGTTCCGTAGCACCAGGGTAGAAATTTGTGAAAGACTTTACATCTTAGGCTAAGGACGGTAGATCTAAAATGGATCGATTCATCCAGAAAACCCCTAATGGGAAGGGGACCTTCAATTCAAATAATATCATCTTACGCCAGGAAAAAAAAAGGGGGGGTTGTCTCATTATCTTTGTCATCCACAGTGTTTAA